AGTAAAACGATTTTATTTGAAGATAAACAACTAGAAAATTCAAGAAAAAAAAAGTTGATAAAATATTTATAAAAGTTTTAAATAAATATTTTACAATATAATTATTGAAGATAGTCTGTCGGATATAAAAATTTTATAAGTTTTAATACATCAAAGAGCCATAATTAGAGAAACTTTATCCATTTAGCAAACATAGCAATTCTAAATGCTTTGAAGAGAGAACGAATTCATTATTTTCTAGTGATTCTTCGTAATCCCAATGGTATAATTACAGATTAAATTGTACAACTTTCTACCATTTGTGATGCCACATTCTCTTTCTTAGTTGTAGATTTCTACTTTGTTTTATCCACTAGACGATATAGAATGATTACCTTTATAATTGTTCTGGATGTAGAGCTTTGTTTAGATGGGCTTTCAACAGGATGAAGACTATTCACAGTCTATTGTGTCTATTCGTTATTCACTGTCGAAAATCAAAGTTCGCTTTCTTTTCTCTTCTTTTTTCATTAATGGACATGTTAACCAAGACAAGCTGTAAAGAAGATAAAGGAAGCAAAAAGTTACAAAGAACCCAAGTGGTTCTTTTTAGAAAAAAGAAAAAAAAATTACATGTAATATATTTTATAAATACATTACATTATAAAAAATATATTAATAATTTTATGTAGATTAAAAATATAGTTTCATTAACTACAATTGGTCGAAATCATAAAAATTAGCAAATATTTTCATTTCTTTAACCAATCAACACCGAGAAATCGACAACATTAACAAAAATCAGTGAAATGTATTTATAAAAATTTCAGAGAACCGCCTATGTTCATAATTTTATTTTATTTTATTTTTTTTCCTTTATTTTGAATCTCTTTTGTAATTTATTATTATTATTATTATTATACTATTAATAGTCAATTATGTATAGAAGCATTACTATTTCGAAAAATTCCAAAATAAATTTAAAATAATTTTAATCCTTCTATCATCTCGCGCCATCTGTTGTAAAAATTGAGAATTATCTTATTGTTTAATTTTTTTTCAACAATATTTTTTTATTCTTAAAACTAAAAAAATTTTTAAATTAACTTTTGATATGTTCGTAAGTTACATATAAATGTTTATGAGAAATAATTCTAATAAATCTTTATAAACAACAGAATATTATGTTTTTGACATAATTTATGTGTTATGATTAATCCTACTATATGTTAGCAATATATATCATATTTTTTACACTATTTTTATGTTGTTTCTATATAAATTATTTAAATTGTTACTTATAAATCATATTATAAAAAATTCAATTTTTCAATTATTAAATTTATACAATAAATTTAATAATTGAGGATATTCAGAAACAAAATTTTGGCCATATCTAAACGTATTTAATTGCATATTATGCTCTGGTATTGATTACAAAAGCCTTCATTACGTTCGATTCGTGGAATAATTAGAGTTAGTGCTGCAATTAACTAATTGTAATTCATAAAACGATAGACATGTGTTAAATTTACATCAATCACTCAATGGAACTATTATATATTCTAAATATGTACAGTACTTTTATACCTTTATAATATAATATTAATTGATTTACAAAATATCATAATTATTTTCTTTACAAGTTTTAATCAATCAATTATCTGTTATTGCAACCATTAATTAGAAATTATTAAAGTAACAAATTATAAATTGGATTATAATACATTTAGAATAAATTTATAACAAATTATATATAATATAGGTTATTCTTTATATGCATATTATAATGTTTAATAGAAGAAAATGTTTAAAACTTTTTTTAATTTAATGAATTTTTTTAATAAATTATTACTGATATTTATTATTTTAAAATGTTTTTTTTTCTTTTTTTTACAGTAGTTTATGCTATACGTTTTTGTTTCGATTAAATATGTTAATGAGTTCATTAACATAAATTATTTTACTGCTTCTTTATTAATTCTGTGTTGTTTTTTAATGTGTAATTTTTTAAAAAATAGATTACTTTAGGAATTATTTCTTAAATTCTTTAGAAATATTTAATTCCTAGGCACATTTTTAAAAGACTAATGAAGATATTTCGAAGCTAATTTTGGAAATGTGTAACCTTCTAAACGTTTAGGTGCTATTTACTGTTATATTTTTTAAAAGAAATATTTTAACAAAGATGTTTTTCATATAAAATATATATATATATATATTTTCTTAAATTTATCTAAATTGAATTTAAGAATTGATAGCCTTAAGGCATATTTTAAACAATGTTTTAAATTTAAAAGCACGTAATTCTTAAGTAAAGTTTAAAATTGCTTTTTATTTGAATGTTAAATATACAAGTTATTGTTAAAGTATAAGTCTGTTTTTACTGTTTGAATGTGTAAGCAAATAGAATATTTTAATAATAAATCTTAAGTAAATTTCTATAATTTTTTATAATTCATATATATTAAATTTACTTTTAAAAAATATTATTTATTACTTTAAATGAGATTTAAGTCTAATATTATTCCGATTATTGTTAAAGAAAGATAATGTTATTAATAATAAAATGGAAGTTTAGATTGGTTCAATGCTCTTGTATGAAATACTTGAGATAAAATTTGATCATTACGGCTATTGACTAACTCGTAGATAGTTCAGTTGTTACATTATCAATAAAATCCACTTGTTTTTTGTTCAACATTTTGTATAAGTTGATATCAATTATTGGATTTCGCTTGTTGATAATAACATCATTTAATATAACTTAAGCAGATTTTTCTTGGTTTTTTTTTTTTACTACGATAAATATACTATTAAAACTTAAAATTAATAAGAAAAAAAAAAAGAACAATCGAAGTAATAAAAATAATTTTACAAAATTCAAGCATATAATTTAAGTGTAAAAAAACTCATAACTGAGGTAATTTATGTTATTTTTCGGGAAATTTCAGACAATCTCTAGCCATATTTCGGGTCAGGAAACACAAATGGAATACAATCTATATTCATGGTATTCTACTTTCCGAATCAGTTTATATTTCTTTTTAGAAAGCAAGAAGAAATTTCAGATTTTCTACCATCAGAAAACGTGATATAGAGCTTTTTTTTCTCCTTTGCATTGTGTGATTACAGAATGATAGATCGATAAGAAGTCTATTGAATAGCTCTTTCTGGTTTGGATATTGAGTAGTTTGTTATTGGAACAAGGTGATTTTCCTTTTTTTTTCCTATTTTATTCTAAGAATATGACATTTTTTATTTGGTTGATTTTATAAGTTGAGAAAGCAGATTTACTTTTATACTTTACTTAATTTATTTTTAAAAAAAACTTATAAATTTTTATATAAATACATTTAAGCTAGTATTAAAAATCACTATGAGATGGCGCCAAGATACTTAATAACATCACACAACACGATACAGAATTTTTCATTATCTAACTTTTGAAGAATCGATAAGTTTAACTACTAAAAGGTTACCAAGGTGATTTCTATTGTTTAAGTTTTTTTTTTCCTCTTTCCTTAAAGTGTTGTAACTTTCCACGCTGCAGTTTTATTGAAGAATTGTAATTTGCCATAAAGTCTTCAGAACAAATCCAGCAAACAAGGTGAAATTTCAGATTAAAGTTTTATTTAAGAAATAAAACTTTTAAAGGGAAAGAAGAAGAAGAAGAAGAAAAAAAGNAAATATTTTTATTTTTAAGCTTATTAATATATATTTAAAATCAATTTATTGGCAGAGTTTGTACATCATTCATTTATTGACAGTAATCGATTTTAAGATAATCGCAAATGCCATTGACATCACCTCACGTTTACCTGGAAATAATAAACCATTAAATACCAGGAATATCTGATGTTTATTGATTTAGCAGTGTTAAATATTCATAAAAATATACTTCACAAAAGTCATAATTAAAGTTACCATACAAAAAAAAAATAATAATCTATATTCAACTTATGATAATTATATTAATTTATTACCATTAAATTTGAATATTAACTTTTATGCAATTTAAAAAAAAATCTATTGGTTAATTTAAGTAAAGTTTAATTCTATTGGTTTATTATTATTATTTGAATTAAGGAGGGATCATCAGACAATTCTATATGATTGTCTGATGATTATTTATTATTATGTATTAGATAAGTTTCATTTATTTATTGGCATCTAAAGAATTTGTTATTTTGCATAATTTAAATGATTTTAAGCTGTAAACGTTTGCTTATTAAGAAATTAATACAAATGCATAGGTTGAATATATACATATTTAAAATTTTAATCAACGAAACTTATTGGTTAATAGAAATTTAGGCGTGGTTTTAAAGACAAAGCGTGAATTTTAAATTTTGGATATTTGTAAAATTTTAATTTATCTATTCTTTTTAATTATTTATTAAATAAAATTTTAATTATTATTTTCAGTTAAAGGAATGCATTTTTGAACATAAAAATATTAAAATTTAAGTATAGACTATATCTTTTTTACTATTTAACGAAAAAATTTGATTAATTTTTCGCTATTTTCTTCTTATCTCTAAATTTATTTTGACATTTTTAAACGAAATAACTGTATATTTATGACAATAATTCGTTTGTTTAAGTCCAAATTTATTCATTTTCTCGTTAGGATTTATTATATTTGCATGGGATTTCTATATTCTTTACTAAAATCGATTTTTCGTTTAACTTCCCCCTTTACTATATGCTTGCTACCGTGACAGATCTGCTAGCGTCAAAAGCCCAACTTCAGGTGCAGTTAAATCGTATAGATTCGAAATTTATCATTTTCTAACTCTTTCTTCTTCTAGTTCTTCACAAAAAAAATAGAAAAATTTTATTTAAACAGGTTTATAAAATAGATTCAGACTTGTTTAGACAATCTGTCCGTCGAGTTGATCGAGCCTTTCACCACATTTTCGGTACAAATTCTGAACATATTCTGTTATCTCTGTCTCCGGCCACGTTTGTCGTCACGCTCCGACGGTGAAGGAATTGAGCATGCTCGCCGGTGACGTCACAAAGTCAGGGTCTTTCCAGAAAGTGCAGGACTTAGGCTGTCGTTGACTGGTTCGTTGTCATGTCCCGTAACACGTGGATGGCTTCTGCGGATTTAAATGTGGATGATAGCTTGTCAGGTGAGTTATTTATCATTTTTTTTAAAGGTTAAAAGGTGGCAGTTTATTGGTCGAAAGATCCGAGTGTCAACCACCATTATTCATAGAAGAGGAAAAGTTCAATTGTAGTAGATATATCCTACTTTATCTAACGCAATATTCCACATCTCAAAGGCATTTATATAAGGATGAATTTGTGTGTAGATAAACACTATAATTTTTTTTATTTCTATGTGTTGAACGGATTAATGTAGATAGTTACAAATCAGTTTTCGCTATAAACATCGTGTTATGTTTCTATATGAGACTTTAATTATGTATATTTCTTAAGCTTAAAATCTCTTAGACTTTAATACAGGTTCTTTGCGGATCAATATGAGGTGTTTAGCGACTCCCACGTCTTGCTTGAGCGAACAGCCTCCAGAGTTACTGAATG